GGTATTGCTTTTGAACTCCTTTGCCGCTGTGGGTTATGCAGGCGTAGTTCAGCGATAGTCATGTCCACTTCACGTGACAGAACCACAACTCTTCTCCCGTCCCTGAGCACTTTAATCCCTCAGCAGCGCAAAGGCCGCAAATTTTACGCAAGCTGCAGTGTTGCGAAAGTGTTGAATTACTATTTTGACGGGGGGGGGGGGGGGGGGGGTTCGGAATTTGTTGATGAGGACAATGCAAGTGAACAACACCGTAACTTAGTGTCCACTATATGATTACGCTCCAGTGGTTTATGAAAGAAGAAGGTATCGCAGGCAAGTTGTTCCCGGCAACATTTTTATCGGCTCTTGCGCTCATGTTCGTTCTCTCTTGACGTAGACTTTTGTGGATATAGTGCATATCTGACGATTCTACGGGATACCCGAGAACCCACTGATTGTCAAACCAGGGAAGACCCTTTGGTCGAAGTGGTCATATGAAATCGATGCAAATGGATAAACAGCTCTTCGAATGCTGATCTCAAAACTGCTTTCGCTATCTGCGGAGCGTTTCTGTAAAAGGAGTTATGAGCCTTTGCTCTCCCCAACAGCGGCCTTCCCTTTATGAAGGCGCGGCAAGGCATTCCCGTTATGGCGGCGTGTAGTGGTGAGTGCTCGATCGCCGGGGGCAGGTGGTCCGCAAACTCGCACTTTCTTGCAGGCGGTCAGCAGAATTTTGGGGCGTTGCCAAATCAGCGAGCGGTATTTCCTTGCTCTGCCAGCGGGCAGCAATACAATTTTTTCAAGCGCTCGTTAAATGATCTCCTTCAGCGAGCGCTGGCCAAATTTTCAGCGGACGCTCTGACTCTTGTTACGCAGTTCCGGGCGTACGCCGAGCAAAGGTAGTACTCTACATGAAAGCGGTGAAACGGATGGTTTAATTACCCGAGTTTGGGGTACTTTCTTTTAGCGGAAGGTACTTACGGGCTGTGCGGTCCTTCACAAAAGACCGTGCGGCCCTCAACATTTTTGCACATTCTCGAGGAAAATCCGCGAGAATGCGGCCACAGCTCCGCAACTAATCTATGAGAATATCGCAATTGCCCTCCGAGCATTCGTCTGAAATCTGGCCAACATTCTTCTGAATATCTGCAGGCGGTCCACAACAAACAGCAAACTTTTTTTCGGTGCCCGCTTGCTCATAAATTGCATGGCCGGCTGCCCTCGGCGATTCTCTGAGTGCCTGCGGTTCACAGGTGAGTGAGCAGGGTTTGAGTTCTGTTGTAGTCCAGCAGTTTTGGATTTTGTAAAATTATTGCTTGCTTTTGAAAACGCCACATATGGACATATCGTCTCGCTACAAGTGATTAATTTTCGAATGCTCAGGCTGTGAAGTATTTTTGCTTTCAACATTTTGTGATTGATTACCATATCTGCTCATAGTTTTGCCGTTAAAAATTCTGTATATATGTAATAGCTGTTACAATAAACTCCTCAGTTCCAAAGCAATTACTACATTCTCTAAATATTGACCAATTGATCAATTATTGCGAGATTTGCGATAAATTGTTTTATGCGGCATTTTCAGAAGCAAGCAAAAATTTGAGAAAAATGCAAAAATGCTGAGCGACAACAGGATTCGAACCCTACTCACTCACCTGTAAACCGCAGGCACTCACCACTACACCGCGCCACCGCAAAGGAAATGCCTTGCCGTGCCTCGATAAAAGGGAAGGCCACTTTTGTGGAGAGCAAAGGCTCATAACTCCTTTTACAGAAACGCTCCGCAGATAGCGAAAGCAGTTTTGAGATCAGCATTCGAAGGGCTGTCTATCCATATGCATTCAGTTTCCATATGGCCACTTCGACCAAAGTGTCTTCCCTGGTAAGCACGAAACCATGACCGAGGTTCGGTCAGAGAGCTTGTCGGAAATGAGCGCATCGCCAATTACAAAGACTCGGGAACAAAATTTTAGGGAAAGCAGTGAGTTGTCAATGGTGTCTCGCCAAAAGACAAATATCGAAAAGAAAAGTTCCCACATTTGTTTTCTACTAGATATCATTTCCGCACTGTTGTCACAAGTAAACTCACTCAATTCATCGGCTTTTGCCTAAACTAAAAAGTAGCTATAACAACATTATGGTGAGCTCGATATTTTGTTAAATAATTTGGGAAGATGAGCAGATGTATTGCTGAGCTGGGCTCAGCGATGGATTGAGGTTATTGACATGCACGATAAGCTCTCCTGAGCTGCCTTTTGTATATGCGTAAAGACAGAAGGTCTTTATGCATGTCAGTATTTGATGAGATATAGATATATGATGAGACCCCTCATCGCCTTCCGTTCGCACCAATAAATGTCTCAAGCAACCATTGTGTGTCATCTATGATCCTGCTAACGGAAGTGCGAATGTGAACAGAGAGCGATCGCTGCAAGACAGATTTCGCTAACAGCTCATTCTGAGTCACTATACAACTAGTCGATGCACCGTAATGAAACCGACCACTCCTTCACGAGTTCAGGAATCCCTCCAGGGCCCGGCACAGATCGTCTGGAAGCAGGGTGGACTTCGTTTTTGAAGCAAACAGCAAAGGGGATATGGTTTTTGACGAGTCGGAACCGAGTACCAAGAACAAGCGCCATTTGGTCGAACACAAGCTTTTTGGACAGGTTATCACACGATTGACATGCTCTATCGTGCATGGCGAAAAGTGCGCGCGATTTGAAAGCAAGTCTAAAATAAACAAATTGCTTGTTTACAGTGCACACAGATGCATATGACACCAAAATTGAACTGTATACTTAGAAAATTATTTGCGGAAGGATTATGTAAAGAGATTTGAAAACTTATGTGAAGTAATACCTTTCCCAAAATTAGATCGTCTCCAGACGGCCACCAGACGATCTGAGATCGTCTGGAGCATATATTTCCGTCATTTCACATAAGTTTCGAATCTTTTTAGCATGGACGGATTCCCCGGTCAAAAGTCTATCCCTGAGCATGAAGACATTTTCATATCATTGCCTTTCCTTTGTTTTTTGCCTTCATTCTTCTCGCTTTGTTAAATATCGCGCTCTAATGCCAAAGTCTTGTGCATGCGTAGTATTCAGTTCCAATTTGGATTTTCACTTTTATCTTACATCTTTTCTTTCAGACTAGTAAATCTTTCTGGTTTTTATCTTCTCCTAAGCAGGTAGGTCAAAGGGGACTTCGTAAAACTTAGTCAGGGAAGAGACATCGTTTTCAGAAACCCTAGAAACCAACTCGTGCAGGGCCCTGACTCCCTCATCTTGGAGGCAGCAAGATTCAACACATTAGAAAACAGCACGACATATCGCCTTCAGCTTCAACATTCCTCTTTTTTACAACATGTGAGACTGCGAACGTCGGATTGGATGACGAAACGTTTCTGCTCATTGTCTGCAGCATAATCATCAAAAGACTGCATTATTTCGCCCGCCACTCCACAGATCAAAGCACTAAGCGACGATGCATTTAAGAAGATTCCTCTGAGAACTGCCATTATTTGCGCTTTTTAAAAATTCTATACAATCTCAAACGCGGTGAGGAATGGATCTTCTTGCAAGAGCCTAGAGATTTCAAGTCCACTTTAGCGAACTCAATTTGTTTGCATCACTAAAAAGCCCCCTGCACATGCAGTTCCGGCAGCATAGCAAGTACATAAAACTTTTGCAACTTGTATGAATATCGAAAAGCTTCGTGATTTCTGCAAAAAGCATTATGCTATTGCCAACTGATCAAAAGTTCACCGCCCATCGTTGCGAAAGATTTGGAGATCATCTCTCAATAAACGCGTACTTTCATTAACAAGCAAACGTACAAACAATCAGAAATTGAAGCCTACACGTCGACTACAAATTGGAAGATGGCAACATAATGACAAAAGCTTGTTGGAGGAAGGTCCAGGAACATTTCGTCACTAAACTAAAAAAAAAACCTTACCCAGCATTGCAATTAAGGTCAGCTGGCATTCTTCTCATCATCCTCTACATCCTACATCAAGTAGTTTTGCCTATTCAATCTACTCTCTAAGTTGTTACCCACACAAACCCCACCTGAACTTTGATCTAGACAATAATTGGCTTTCTGTGCGGAAGTTATTGTAATTTAAGTTTCTTTACTCTACAGTTAAATTGACCTCAATTAACTCAGCCGTATTTGCTCAGGGAGAGTCGTACATTTAGAAATATTGATAAAGATGTGGTAGAAAATTCCAGATATGTGTCGCCACACTGTACCCTGAAAGTCACACGTCAAATCATTGAAATGCACGACAAATACAACGCTCACTTAAAGTGCCTTTGTGTTGTATTGACGCTAATGTATGTTCGTCTTCGCCTTTTGCTACATCCAACCAGCGAATAATTCTTTCAAGCTAACCTTGATTTTCCTACAAACTACTACCGAAGAAGAACAAAGGTGACATTTACTTGACAGTAGTCATGGGGCGAAATTCCTGAACTTAATGCTCTCTCTCCATTCTATGAAGAGGACGAACGGGGCGACGGTACATCCAAGAACTTTGGGACATCGACGGCATTTGTCAGCCAAGCCTCGGATCCACCATCGAGAATAGGGCATATGAATCGATAAGATTGTTGTCATCGTCGTCATAATTCAGACAGTCTCTCCCCTTGTCTATTCCACTGTATATTATGGATCGTGATGTGAAGTTTCGCAAGTGGCCTTCTAACTCTGATCTTCAAAATCTGTGACAATGATCGCTTGAAGTGCGATTTTTTGGAAACTTTCCATCTCTACGTTGCTGACTCCTATACTCTTGACATGTCAACAGTTTTTTCCAAGCCTGTAACGTTCAGTGCTTGATGATTCCCTATCTTGATCGGACCAATGACATTGTACCTGATATTCCTTGCTTGTATCATTAGATCCGATGGAGGCATCCAGTGCAAGCGTCCTGCGTTGTACCAATCGTCATCATTGTCCGCCTCGTTTCTGGCGCCCTAGAGCAATCCAAATTTTGATTTCACTGACGCTGCCATAACTGTACCTTCCAGATCTGAGGGAGTTTTCTATGAATAAGCTGTGTTTGACAAAACAATTCAGTCACAAAATAGCTTGTTGATATTGCAACCTCGATGGACGGTCGGAGCTTATTTGTTAAAGGTGATTTCAACATCTTCTCCTTACACCTGGAAAAGTAAAATGCGAGCGGTAAAGGTGAAAAGTCCCTCAACAGGCCGCCCGCTCATTGAGGCGGGTCGTTTTCGTCGGCGATAGTTCGATATCCTCACCAGGAGAAGCTTAAGTAGCCTCAGTAAAGTATGATTCTGCCAGAGACTGCTGCCAATTCTTTCCTGCGTTAGACGAGGATTTTTTTGATCTCAAATAGTAAGGGTGAGGAGCCTGATGTCTTCAGAAGTGCAGTTACTTTCGAGTTGCCATACTCGCACATATATTAGGAACTGTTAAACTAGCCTTGGCTGTGATTATCTTAGCAGCAGGCAGCTACCCTACTCGCCAGGTCTTGGTGATAAGTGTAAATGAAGTGAAAGACACTTCAAATAATATTTACAGTATCTGAAAATTGTCCCATTTCAAAAGAAAAGTTTAAAAAAAACAGAGTCACTCCGTTAAAAAATGAGGCATTTTTAGAGGTTAAAAGGTTTTGAGAGTAATTTTTCAAGTGACCCATAAAATAAGACTTGCCTCGTTAAAGTTCTGGTAGATTTTCATATGAATACTCAGTATAAATTCCAGGAGTCTTACTGTACCTGAATGCATAAACGGTTCTTTGCCTGCGTGTACCGGTAGGTGAAATGAAGTGCTGAAAACTAGTAAAACAAGTCAGCTTGTGGTGAACACTGCCTTTGCAAAGATCTTGCACTTCTCCGAGAGGGATTTGGTGAAGTTACAACGATGTGATCAAATGCGAGCAGATGTGCAAACTTATAATCTAAACTACACTGATACTGAGACCTTTGAAAAGTTGAGGGATCAATTGTGGTCTTAATAATCTTTGTCTTCATCAGAAACTTAATTTTGAAAAAACCTACTTCTTCATTTCAATGTGATATATTTCCAGAGCAAATGTCCCACATAATTTTTCTCTTCTTAATCATGGTGCAAATGCAATACGCAATAGCAAAAAGTGCAAAAAGTGAAATATATGATATATTCAACTTGGAGAAATTCTATGAAGATCAGGAACGTGTGAGTTTTACTTCCAAGTGATACTGTTAAGGCTTTTAATCGTCTTTACAGTGTGAAGATTTGTGCTTTTCTGACAAAAAAGAGGAAGTGAAAGCTCGACTACACAAATACCCTCACCTTGACAAGTACGCCTGCTTTAGAGAATGCATGAATGAGCTTGGGAGAAAAGGATATACGTCATAGTTTCATTTCCGTAGATCTTTTGCCATTGTTTATTTTGCAAATAAATTTCCACGAGGTTGCACAATCATGAAGCATAACCGTCTTGCCGTTTACATTTAGTCCAAGTTATTCGGGGCTTGGCACTATGTGGCTTTCATAATTTGAAAACGAATTCCGAGTTGACTTCGCAATATACGACATCTTTTATGACATCCTCTCATGACTGAATCAAACATGCGTAAGGGAAAAGAGTGGAAAAGATTGAGAAAAGCAACGAAAGAGAATATTGCAAAACTTGTGATTTTTTTATTTCTCGCTGGCGGCATGCTTTGTCCGGCCTGCGCGCTTGGAGCACGGTTACGCCGCAATGCATTATCAAACCCCCTTTCCCCCGCTTGGTCACATCCTAAAGGATGTGACCAAGCGGGGGAAAGGGGGTTTGATAATGTTCAAAAGCTGATAGGGTTTTAAGTGTGGATTATAATTAACAACGGCTATGGAAAAATTACGAGAAAAGAGGGAATGTATGACATTATTCCCTCCGAGCCACCTCAGGTGGTCTCCAGATAGCTCAAGCCACCTAACTCCGGAAAAGCTTGCCCTTCAATTCATAAATTTTTTTCATAAATTTTCATGCATGGTTCTAACTTCCTATTGCGCATTTCCACATCAATTTTGGTGTCATGCCATTTCCTTTTCGCTGTAAACAAGCCTCTTCTTTATTGGGCTTGGATTCCCGCGCTTGACGAAGTGCAAAAATTGTTGTTTTGCATGGAATGGGAGCGGTAGGGCAGTGATGAGCATTCGCGAGGTCTCCAAAAAATGAGGAAGTAAGGCAAAAGAGGGGGGGGGGATATGATTGTGGGGGAAGGGTTGATTGTTGGAGTGGGATGAAGGTTGGGAGTATAGTATGTACCGTCTGCGCCCCACAGAGGTTCCCATGTGAACCTGCGTGCGTACGTGATGCGACCTGCCTTTCGCTCTTTTTGACACGCTCCTGAGATTTCAACGGAAGTGCCCGAGGTTAACACGTTTAAAAGTGCGAAAGGCAGCGAGATAACTTGGTACCTATGGGAACCTTGCTGGGGAACAAACGATATGTTATGTGCATTGTATCTGACAATAGCTGCGAAGTGGGTATTCTTGTCAGAGGGAAGGTGAAAAAAATTGGTTTTAATGGGCTTGAAATTGGTTAACTCTAAGATTTTTATTATTCAGTCTTATAAAAATATTCAATTGAACTGCTTTCAAGTTTTTTGAAAGCTTTTACAAAGACCTCTCTTACATTGGCGACTTTTTATACACCATTATGCTAGGCTTATACAGACATTCTTTCCGGCGTCACCGAGCACCTCAAAAACAGTATTTTGCCTCAGACCCCAAAACGATATCCAGCTTGCCCCGTAAGCCATCTATGCCGAGCTTTTAGTGTATTTTGCGAAAAGCTTTCAGTGTATTTTGCGAAAACTCAGAACAGTTATTACATTAACTCGAACAATCACCTTCACATTTACAATTTCCTTCCAATCCTTATTCGCCAAATTCCATCCTTGATTACATTCCTTTAGTTTGAATTCTGCTAGCTCTATTTTGAAAACAATACTCATACCTTTTCAGAACCTTAGAAAGCCTACATTTTTGACACAAGGACGACCTCCTATTATGAGCAACTCAGATTTTATAATATTGCTGTGCCTTGTATGGCATCTTTCAGATATCAATGGCCGCGCTATTTCCACAAAATGAGAAAGGCTAATCGAACTTTACGCTTCCTATAAGATGCATGTCATGTTAATTATATCTGTTTCTTCAAATAAACAGTACCAGAAGTCCATATTAAGCTAGCGGTTAACGTTCTGTCATTGCGTCACCTATCTTGTAAAAAGTCTTTTGTAACGCATCTTATATATAAAGTTGGATTTCTATTTGTATGTGTGTACGTATGTTCCGAATAGAAAATTCCATTTTTTAACCGACACGGAGCAAACTTGACACACATACACTTTGGGGCGGGGCGAGTGTCATAGGCCACTTTTCGTCATCGATCGATATCGATTTTATCGATTGTCATCATTTTTTGCGAAGTTTGAGCTGGGGGCTGGGAGTTGGCACATGGGGTAATCGAGCATGCTGATTACAAATACAATATTGGTTTTTGGAATTATCCGTTACTTTTATCGACTTTATCAATTTTTTTAAGTCTGAGCTATGGGGCTGGGAATTGGCACAGGAATAATCGAGCATGTTGATTACGAACACAATATTAGTTCTCAAATCATCCATTACTTTGATCAAATTTATCGATTTTTTACAAAGTTTGAGCTACGGGGCTGGAAACTGGCACAGGGAGTAAATGAGCATGCTGGTTACTAACACAGCGGGATTAGGGAAATGCGTGTAACAGTGGGCACAGGGAAAGGTTGTTCAGGGATAGGGATGGAAATTTCATCATAGTGTTTTGGCAGGGCCGGAGCCGGGTAAGCCACTACTTTCAGATAAAGGGGACATGGTTTTGTAGACGCTTTCAGAGGAACCTTCACCAAGTTTTCTAGATGTAAGCCATCCGAACCAAAGTCTGAAAAAAGAAAGCGCCTATATCTTTACAATATTCTGGATAGATAGGATTTTTTGCAAGCTTTCTTGGTACCCGTCTGCCGTGAGGAAAAAATCTAGTGATTACACACGATGATAATCACTAACATATCGTTGCCAAGAACGCTATTTATGGAGATCTCTATCTTGACCTGATACATGGGAAGGGCTATTTAAAAATTGCTGAAACAAAATAAAACGATAAGGCTAGCTTGGCAGCTTAATGATAATGATAATGTGAAACGGAAGAGGGATCATCCAAAGTTAGTTATTTAAGCTGTGCACTTTCCCTCACATTGTGGTTAAGTTGCTCATCAACTTTTCGAACCATCAAATATCGTCTGAAAAAGTCTTTTTGCCTACCATTCCCCTGTTCAATAGAAAAGGGCTCGACAAAAGGTGATAGCAGAAAATTTTTACAATAATCTCAGGGGAAGTCTACTTAGTCGAAGTGGCTTTCAAGTGAGTCTTATACCACTTCGTAGATTGTAGAGCATCAGGAGATTATTCCAAGTCTGATTTTATTACCTAAAGAGCCCTCTGCATGCCAACTTGTGAATATTTTTTGGTGCAAAAAATGAACGCATAATCTCTAAAATCACATGTACAAAACTTCTTAGCGCCAAATAAGCAGTGTTGAGACTGTGTGTTTTGGACAGATGGAGTGCGGTGTTAACCAGGATTGGACCATTTGAGCAATTCTGACGAATTTGTTTCAGTTATGCCACCTTTTCAACACAAAAAAAGCTCATAACTCGACATCCAGAGCCGCTTGGCAGATAACGAAGACAGGTTTGGGTTCGATGCTCTTTACAGTCTTATCAGTTTCATGTGAAAAGGCCACTCAAACGAACCTCATTGTCAGCAAATGCTTATTTCCTATCTCACAATCAGCATGATATCCTGTCTCGATCAGTGAGACAATACCTCATCTACATGTTTTATAATACTTTTCAATACCCGTGGTGCTTTTTTGTCTTTTTTGTTTATCTGCTGCTCTTCCGATTAACGGTGTCAACTTTATGTTCGTATGTATGTACAGTGTGCGTCATTGAAATAAAGATGCTGCTTTGAAGAAAAAGCCTTGGCTTTGATGAGAGCGCTGTTTTCTCCAATTTCTCCACGTGACAAAATGACCTTCTCGTTGAATGCGGTGAATAAAAAACCATAAACATGCAACTTCTATTGAAGTATAATGCACATATACCGATGAGTGTGGAAAACAAGTGTACAAATCTTTCTATAGATGAGTGATGTATGTACAAAAAAACTCGTGTTAGATTAAAACAAGAATTGATTAGCATAGAGGAAAAACTTTGATGATGATATGTTACTGGAACAAACTGGCAGCTGCAAGTACGGTAACCTATGCATCATTGCCAATTTCACGGAAACTCTCCCGTAAGGCTCCGAGTTCTTCCAGTTTTCTCGTCATCCATTCTCGAGCCTCCTACAAGTGAATGAATGAGAGTAAGATTTTACAAACTATGACATACCTTCATTTGATCCAAATCGCTAACGATGATGTGAAATCGGGATAGCACTTCATCCTTGATTATTGACTGCTTCTCTTTCAGCAGTTTTGAGTACTGCAAGTTTTCAGCTTTCATGGTCTCGAGATCCTGAACTGAGTGGCTAAGATTCTTTATCAATATATAGCGATCGCAGAAAAATTTTCTTGAGAAAGAGGGGGATAACAGTGAGCTCCTTCAAATACTTGGCGAGGTCTACGCGCTGTTGTTTTTGCCAAGGTTTAGAATTGAGTAAACATCTGGTCAAGGGACGATTTCACGAGATACGAAATACACAAGATATGAAGAATCTTCATGCGTGGAGGTATCGCAACCCCAGGGTTGCAGTGAGTCATGTCAAAGCTCTACAACAGAAATAGAAACCAAAAAACTATACCCGCTTCATGCTCCCAATCTCATTCTTCCTGTTTTCAAGCAGTTCCTTGTCGTTTTCTAGTCGCTCTGCAATGCAAAGGAATTAGAGCTATGCCTAGTGTCGTGCAGTCTTCAGAAAATGCAAAAGAACATGCTCCTCTCAAACTTTTGGGAAAGCTGAGTGATTTGGAAGTTTCTTGGGCTGTTTTATGGAGCGAGGTAATTCAGCTATTAAGATGATAGATGTAAGGTTGCCAAAACTGAAGGAAAAATCGCAAAACTGTTCGTCGAAAAGTTGGTTGAAAAGTTCATAAATCATTCAAAGTCATCAATGGCCCCATGAATGTCCAAAGCAGGAAAATCCTCTTTGTAATTTACATCATTACAGATGTGATATGTCTCATGAAGTGTGACTAGATTTGGTAGTGTGTTTGTAATGAGGTCATTTTTGAGATGAAAAGATCATAAAAGAGTATATACAGCAAGTACGGCATATGTCATCACGATTAGACTGAACATATAAGGGTCGATCAACGGTATAAACAACAAAAAAAAATTTTTTTGAAAAACACTAACCAACTTCAGTCTCCGCCGCGATCAAATCCTTCTCCCATTCTTCGCGTTCATGCTTGCGTTGACGATCCGCACGCGACTCTTCCCGCTGCTTATCACGTAGTATGCGTCGCTCGACTACATTATTTTGCCTGAAAAGCTTCCTCTCTAGGACAGTTTCTGGAATAAGCAGACAGTCTTACTGGATTTCTTCGCTTTCGAAGTTATGCTGTCTAATGATCCCCTCGAGTTCTTGTCTTCGTTGCAGCAGCTGTGACTCAGTCTCTAATAAAAGGCTCTTGGCGTCATTCAGGACAGCAGAGTACAACGCTCTGTGATTTGAGCCAATTAGATTAATATGTGCAATTGAGTATATATTCTACCTTGCATCCTTGGGCGTCTCCTCGGCTATAGTCGGACATTCGTGCAAAGCACTCATCAGCAAGCTTTTGATCCCGACTATCAGACTTTGGTAGCGACCTTGTTGCTGTAAACAGAGTATATTATACAATTTCTAATCTAAGCCCTTGGGTACATGTTTGCACTGATCTACCTCTTCCAGAGCCTTTCGACATTTTGGTACTTCGTGCCAGTGTCGCTTGCAAAGATCCTCCAACTCAGCTTTCAGTTTTCTCATTTGGAGCTTGTTCTATAAATGTGTAAATTATGCCGAAACACTTCGCATATTTACATCAAATAACCTCGTCCACTTCAGAGACCAGCGCTCGGGCATCTCGATCGCATAATCCTTGTGTTTGTTCCTGTTCTCTGATAGCGCCTTGAAGTTCAGAAACACGGAAACGATGTTCTTCAGCTTCCATCGCTACAGTATCCTTCTCTTCTTTCGCAGCATTCTGAAACTTTGTGTTTTCGGCTAGTAAAATGATGACTTGTTTCGTTTACCAATTCCACACTAAGTGCTTTAACATCCTCATCAATTTCCTCTTTGTACTCGGTAGCCTTCTTGATGTCATCGTCCACGCGAACGATATCATCTCGGTAACGATCCACGCTTCCTTTCTGAGATTGAAAATGCTATGGGAATTATACTGTTTCTTTTTAAAACCGTAATAGTGAGATTTTTGGCAGCAGTTACCCAGAGAATATCAAAATGTCGACCACCTGCGAAAAAAACCGCAGCTGAAGTCAGATTCTGTTCTGGCGAGAGAAACGACGCACAGGACGAAACAGGCTTCTTTGAGAATTAGTAAAAGGAGGCAACTTTTGAAAAAAAAAAACTCTGCAGATTAGCCTTTGCTTCAGTTTGGGGAGAAGGAATGGAAGATGTTAACAACAAGATTACGAACGATGTGATATGAGCTGCGAACACTATAGAATGATTAAAAAATTTCCTATAAAAAAAAAGACAAGAAAGGGATAGTCAATGAGGCTACCTCGCTCTCCAACTCAGCACAATCCTCCCTGAGCTGGTCCAAGGCTGCCCTGATAGTTTCCTGCTGGGATTCGAAATCTTCTTGCTGTTCATGCCAGTTGCGTAAAGCGTGCATCTTATCTCAAAACAATTCATGAAGTTAACTATATACATGCTTTCTCATGCGCTTACTATCGAAGAAATTTTCATTCCTGATAGCTTCTCTGTTCTGAACGTATTCTTTGAACCCAGCATTCAACCAGCTATATTTGTACTGGAACCAAATCAATTGACGAAAAGAAAACGAAGTCATAATGATGATACGAGATCACATAGGATTAATCTTATAACTTACAGCTTTTAGAGTACCACTGGAGTCGTCTCCGAGTAGTAACTGCTGTCCACCCTCATCTTGTAGGGAATTTTTAACCTAAGAAAAAAGATAAAGAAAGCGGAACATTATTTTGACTTCCATTTCAGTTGATACATTATAAGGGAAAAGAAAAAAAGAAACTGGAAAAAATGAAGTAAAAATAAAATACATCGAAAGTAAAAATTAAGAGAAATTGAAACGGATGTGAAAAGTGGAGCTCACGTTCACGACATCAATCAACCACGTCAGAGCACCGAGCAAGGTTGGCCAGGTATGAGACGCTCCAATAGTTTGCATTGTGCTGGGCTTGATGGGTGTGATGTAACCCAACTCGCGGAAAATGGTGGCTACCTGAAGCATTGATCACAAGAAGTTAAAATATTCTTCTCGCATTTGCAATATACCTCTTCGTTGACATTCTTCAACTGAAAATCGGGACTGAGGTGCTGATAAATACTCTCAAACATAATGATAAAATCCTGTTTGGTTGGTGAACGTATGGCTTTTTCTGGCAAGCAATTCTGAACAGGGTTAATGAAGTACGTACACTTCATTAGCTGAAGCCATATCAAGACAAAGTTGAAAAATCAGTCACCTCTCCATCATGTTCGAGCAAGAAAGCGTAGATTTTACGAATCATCTCGTTTTGATAATCTTTTGAAGAAAGCGGTCTCGTGTCCTGGAAACTCCGCAAAAAATATTGAGCATTCTCAACCAACATAACTCGAATAAAAATATGAGAATCGAGCGATCTCTGCATTGGAGGAATCCGTTCTATCCGACACTGTCCGCTGCAGGGCATTCTAGTTACTACCGCTGATATCCGTATCCTACGCAATTATGGCAAAATCAGTTGGAATTTTTTGGCATCAACCTTGTGGAAACTCAAAATTGCTGACTAGCTAACAATAAGATATCCATGGAAAACCAGCGTTAATAGCTGCTTATGAGAAAAAGTAAAACAATTATGACAATAAGCAGAATTGAAGATACCTTATAGTTACTAGTAAGTGATCGAAACAGCGAAGTACGACGCGCACTGGCTGGAACGGTTCCCATGCTGAAGCGAGCCTGGCCGCCATCAAAATCGCTGCAACATTTATGTCGTTATGGGAAAATCGTAGCGGCAAGAAGTAAGATATTGTGGAAAAATCTTGGTTTCAAGAAGTAACAATACAAAACGTACTTCTTGGACGTTGAGTTGATTTGTGTACCTCCTATAGTAAAGCGGGGTCTCGTCGGCGTTTTCATAGTTGAGGAAGGCATTCCTCCCCATCTCGGACCCATAGACTTCTTCCTCTCACTATTCATTGCTGCACACACAGCCTGTGTTCTGAAAATGGATCAGCGTAGCTGATGCATAGAATAGATCAGGCAGCAGTATGGGACTAAAGAAAAAGAAGATGCAGCAGTTTCTCGAAGTCCAAATAAGAAGAAGTAGATTGGAGATGCAACCAAAAATTTAACAATGCCAGACTTTTGTTACTAGGGATTAAGCTGTATTTCTGAGGTAGAGGCCCTATGTCCGTCCGGAGAGAGTAGCCGATGTGATCCAAACCTTAAACATAAAATAATCTTCTCGAATTCGACACAATTTCGACTCCTCTGAGCAAGGATGTTGACTAGACAGTTTGAGGCTTTCAGCATTTCGATGAAGACATCAAGGATAACATACATTCGTTTTCTTTTCTTGAAAAGCAGCTAAGAAGTAGGTAACTTACTGTACTGAACGGACAAAACTGCTATCGCTAAATCATGAGTAGGAAAAAGTGTCGTTATTGACCTCAGTTCCTATACTATTTAAAACAATTGCGGACTTAACTTTTGAGTCATTTCCAGATTACTCGCCTACGAAAAGACTACGAAGACAGAAACAACACAGAAAGCAACGCGATTCCGATAGATAACGAGAGAAACAAAGAAGAAAGAAAATCTTTACATCTTTACCTTCTTCACTTCAGTCTTGCACGTTGGTGAATGCTCCACACAAGTCACCAGAAAGAAATATTCCTCAGTCACTGTGGTACTCGAAAAGGACTAAAGGAAACGATTACAGCGTCAATATTACAACTGAAATGAAAAAAGAAGTCGATGACGACGAATGAACTACAGGCAACGGGGGGCACGCGGAAGGCGACAATCGGCGAAAAATGGAGGCTGTGTATCATCCGTCTCAATGACTTTCACGGATTTCTACTTGTGGCATTGAGTAATGTATCTGCCCCCATCCCCCACCCCCGTAGTCCCCCGGGGTGTCACTTTGACACCAAAGAGTTTTTGATAGGCACAAAATTGGGGATTGTCGCCTTCCGCACCACATCCACAGGCAACAGCTCAAATCAGTTTGAAATTTCCATTGTGGCGCGTTCATGTGGGCAACACAGGCGCCTAGCCACCGTAACCCAGAAATCTGCGAGCGAGTCGCAGAGGGCTGTGATGCACCAGGTACTTTGTCTACGCAGTATATAAGTCTATTAAGAGTCTCCAACGGATTAATGTTTGGAACTCGAACGTGATTAGGAGGATTTGAGTTAACTTTTGGAGTGGTTTGCAGGAGGTCTTTTTTATTTTTGCATCAACGTAAAAGACGTTATAGACATTTAGGTTATCGGCAATTTCAAAAGACAGTCAACTTCTTTACCAAAGAGATTCCTTTCTAACTGAGGACGGTAACTTATAACCTCGTCTTAGTCTGCGCTAAGTCTGATCTAATTTTGAATTATTCCCACCCTTGAGAGAACAATCCTTTTTTACTCTTTTCTCTGAGCAAGACAATGCACCAGTGCAGCAGCTCAAATTTCTCTCCGTTAGGCAAAGTAGCAATTTTGCGTTATACACCCCTCATCCCACTAGATTCACTGAGGAACTGATCAGGATAAGCAACGAGAAGAGGCATATGGGCCTGAAGGACTATCAGGCTGGACTGTTTTCTCCTCTTGTGCCGGTTCCCCTCTTTTGTGGAATCTGTAGTGCCTTCAGGTCAAAATATCCGACTTTGAAGCATTTGGTTTGCGCTTATGGAAGACACGCATTGTTTTAGATCAGATTAATAAGTGTGAATCAAAGATCTGAAAAGAAAATGAGACGTTGAATGGCTAGCAACTAGATGCTTAGAGTGGAAGGAGAAAGAATATTTCTGATTACTCGAAGTTTCATTCCAAAATCAAATAAACTTATAATCCACTATGGTTGACAAACAGTGGAGGATTGAAAGGGCAGTAGGCCCCCAATGTGTGGCGAGATTTTTGAAACTTTTACATGGGTTAAGATGTACAAGTGAGTTGTTGTTCTTGTGAATAATTATTATAATTTCTGAATTTTTGAAAATTCAAATTAGATTGTGAAGTTTTTTGGGGGGGGGGGGGTGTAGCCGCCCCCCTCTTTTTCTAGAATTTGGGGGTCATGGGTTCGCAAAAATTTTGAAAAGCATCCCCGAACATTTTTTCGGACTGCATGGCTAACGCTACGCATCTTTAAGTGAAAATTTGTTTGCCCTTCTCCCCCCCCCCCCTCCCTGGGACCGCCACTACTGACAAGCACCCAAATTCATTGCATTCGTGTATAACGATTTAATTCTATCGTGCAAGCACAATTTGTTGATGTCGTTTCAATGGTAAATCAACTTCCATATAAGAGAAATTGAGAGCATTCATCCTTGTCTTTCTTCTATATCTATCTTTCCCACCTTATCTAGCTCACACTTTCGATAGCTTTCTTTTTGCGGCACACGGTACTGATCTGATCATAAAAACAAATGTTGAATACAAAAATAATCATTTGTTCGACCATTTGAAAAGTAAGCCGCGCACTTTCAAGTGCACCGTTTTTCTTACATCTCTCCGTAATTTTTTGTTCGAGCTGACGTTAAAACCATGATCATCGGCTAGGTGCTAACCATTGCGGTCAGCTCACGCGCTCTAAAGCAAACATTTGCCGATGCAAGTCTACAAAAGTGTCCACTTATGTTTACCAGTTGTTTACTGGAAGAGTATCGATTTACTGGAACATCGCGGTCGATGTCATAAGCATAAAAATCGAAAAAATAAATGGGTAAAAAAATGATGCGGTCCAATGTCTAGACCATTTAATATTTATAGAAAAATCTGTGATAAACCCCATCTTAGTTTTATTCACTGTGCCTTTATATTCTCACAAACAGATCACACTGTAATCCCTTAACCCTAGAGGTTCCGAACTTGGGTTCTCACACAGTCAAACTGATGTCTTGGCGAAAAATGCTGCCAAAATTGTTGGTCTCATGAGTAGAAAGAACTCAAAAAGTCTTCACCAAACTTGTTCCATCGAATTTCTTGGGTTTCTTGGCTTCCCAGGCACTCGGCGAGAAGCAAGCCCTGGTCAACTATGCATTGTTTGTACTCTCGGAGAACAAACGCGGTCAGCCAACACGGTTCCGAGGAGGCGCGAAGCTAGCAGAGAACTGTGAAGAGGCACGACAACCAAACTCCGGGTTGACTTCTGAGAAAATGTGCCATTTTGGCTGGAACTGAAATCCCTTTACCCTCCCCTCCCCCTTAAGCAGCTAAGCTTAGCTTTTCAGCTACTGCGTCTATACCCACTGAGCATGGTTTCGTTTGTGCAGTAGCGCCAGAGAGTGAATCTAGAACTTTGCCTCGTAATCCCCCTCACCCAACCCCGCCCTTTCCGGATTTTCCAATCCACGCGGAGCTTTTTTCGCGCTCTCGGAAATTCTTGTCCTGGTCACCATTGTGCTGTCATCCATTGTCACTCTCGGAGCAAAACTCCGAGAGCCTCGCTCACGCCACGCCCATCACCTCAGCAAGCTGTCTAATCCTGTCTTCCTCAATCACATTCTTAGCTATGTATTTTGTAATCGTATCCGCTTTCTTGGGTATTGCTTCCGGAACAATAATAGAACTAATGGATACCTCCATGGACCCGGTCTCGCCAAATTATTGTAATGATAGGTTGGTACATAAGAGTTTGAAATTTCCACTATTTTATAAATTTTTCAGCTCCGTGATGGAAGGTGCTGGGCTCATCAAAGCTACCATGGGACAATTTCTTGGCTACGAATGCAGCCCGGAATTTTACCATTGTCGATGGCAGAGTGATGGGTTCCGAACATACAGGAAGCATTGCAAAACGGGTAATAAAGGAAGCTACCGTACGCTTCATCGCCAACCCAAAAATTTCTTGCTTAAGGTCTCGTATACGATGTACTTGGTACTCAAAATTGCAATTACGACTACAATGTGAAGAGTTGTGGGCTGAGAGGCGGAGGTAATTTTTAAAAAATTCTCCTGTAGTAATTGTACTTGCATTTCATGCTCTTAGCAATCTTCTCGCTAAATCTATATTTCATCCGTTTTAATGAAATTATATTTTTGTTCCGAAGATCCTATTTGACATCCTTACCATTAATTTTGCTCAGCACTGTTCGAATCCTTGGTTGTTACGCAAAAAGAAAGTTAAGAATAATTACAGACATGATCCTCAATAATCATCATTCTTCTACAAAGAGAATTTATCACAAACCCTTATTTGCTATATCATTTGAAAAGCTAGAAACAAAAATAACTGAGAATTTCCTTTATCGCTATCTTATTAGAGAACTTACAGGTTCTGTATCACCTCTCTATCATTTCTATAATTCGTCCTTTTTTGAACAAAATACTAACAACCTATCCTTCTTATTATTAGGCTTAAATTTCTGTTCCTATTATCATTTTGTGACCATTGATCCCATTCCTCAGGTCCAACATCTTGCAACTCCACAATGTTCCACTGTACATTATCCGAGCAATGTCTACCTTTGTCGCAAAGATGTGATGGTCACTATGATTGTGGATCAGAGGAAGACGAGCAGAATTGTCGTACGTTGTCTTTCGATCGGTTGAAAATATTAGGTTGGCATGTAAGTTCTGTCGCACCATTTTCAAAAATTCATAACTTCTGATTTTTCCGATCGATGTCTGCTTTTATATCTGTATGAAGGAGTAAGTCATGCTCTTTATAATGACTTCTTAGCTGCTTACTAATGATCATCTGTTGCACAGATAGGAGCGATAGAAGAAAATTGGTCAAAATTTGAATTTTCTGTGTAGGGTCATAAAAAAACGGAAACCTGCAGTAAAAATCCGAGCAGTTGGTATTATAGGTTCTATTAACCGCTCTTTCTAAATGTGCAAAGTTTGCGCCGATTGAGTATCTCTATGAAAAGTTATGATTTTCCAAGCAATACAAAAGGGCGAATTTAAATTATTTTGGCATTTTTCAAGGAAATCATAACTTTTCATAGAGATCCTCAATCAGCGCAAACTCCGCACTGTTAGAAAGAGCTGGAGAAAGAACCTACAATACCGACTGCTCCGATTTTTGTTGCGTTTTCGATTTTTTATGACCTTACACAGAAAATTTGGATTCGCTCCTATCTATGCAACAGATGATCATTAGTAATCAGCTAAGAAGCCATTATAAAGAGCATGACTACTTTTTCATATAAAAATAATGGGAGTCAAATCGACTGGGAAAATCAGAAGTTATGAATTTTTGAAAATAGTACGACAGAACTTTCGTGCCAACCTAATATCTGCCTTTATTTAAAAAATCGCTTTCGGTGACGTCCGCAATATTAGCTACAGAATAAGTCTCACAATTTCCTGACGTTAACCAAAAAAAGAAGGAAAATGCAAACTCTTCTCCTCTGTTTCTTATTTCTGCGAGAAAATGCAAAGGAAGAAGAAAAGCTGAGAAGAGAGGGAACTTTTACTAATCTTTGTCCAGACTCCCTGATCATTTGCAACAAAGCGTAACTGACCGCGCAAAAGAAGAAAAAGTTTGAGCACCGTTGATCCATCCTAACGCGAGTTTTTTCAGCTCTTTGTGCAGCCGAAGAATTCGCCTGCATTGTTTCCGAGGAATGCATTGACGGTAGCCGTCGTTGCAATGGTATAGCTGAATGTAGTGATGGAACAGATGAGATGAACTGTGAAGGTTAGTGGCAAGATGTTTGAAAGTGAACGAATCTTGATTGATACATTTTACACTAAATGTTTCCCAAATATCCTCCGAATTTTCATGAATGGCATGGAAAATTCAGTTCTTACCTTCGATATTTCTCTTCATCATTCATTATTGCGTTAAAAATTTCTTCTATAGTATTGTCACAAATTCTCTGACTGCAGCTTTTTATGGTACATCTTTATTCGGCAATTCCTTCCATCTTTCCTGAGTACAGGCTGCAAAAATAATTACGATTCGGTCTCTCACTCCCTGTTCCTTGTTGTTTACATCAATCTATTCGTCTCCTTCAAGCAACACCTTTTTGACACATCTTCGGGCTCATTTTGCATGATTTCGGACTTTTTTTATTTTTCACTCTCATTTCTGGGCCACGTTCAACGAAATTACGAGTCAGCAAGCTTAAACTAAGTAAGACTTTAGTGAAGAACTTTAGAAGTTAACAGGAGAAATTGAAATATAGTTAGAGATGTACGGTATTGAAACTTGGTTTATTTCCGGACTTTTTTCTTTTCAACATAAATTGGTTTCTTGGAATAAAACACTCCTTTTAAAACACGGTAATCCCTGAATTTTCTCCTTTTTTGTAAAAGAATCTATAGTGGTTAGGCTTTACATAGCCTAGATTTTCGCGCTTGTTATTGAGATGATACATAAACTGCATCGAAATTTTCTGAAAATTGGTAAAATAAAGTTTTGAAACCAATCAATATTGTCCAATATTCTCTTTGCTAAGTATAGTAAAGGCTTCTGAGTACACAGGAAACCTTTCGAAACAGAAAAAAATGTGAAATTGAAAAAACGAAGATCAAAATTAGCATGAGCATTTGAACACCTATTTTCTTGGTTGGAAATAATAGGTTATGAGACTAAGACCAAAAACATAATCGATAGTAAATGTTTCGGCAATCTAGCTTAAAATCCAAAATTGGCTTTTTAAGTGTTGCTACGGCTTGATTTTTTCCTTGAAAATTATTGGTTTGACCTCACTCAAAAGAGCATAATAATCTTCCCAATTTCTAAATCAACATGATGATACGAACTTTCAAAGTTTTGTGATAAGATTGTACCACCCTGGCACAAAGCACTTTGCTTCGATCAGGCTCAGGCTCATCGTGAACAAGGGTGACCTTTTTTAGCTGTATACGCAGGAAATTTGAATTGCTGACCATCCATTACCGCGTTCACAAGAGTGTGATAGACACTGGACACCGCAAGAACACTTCATTTCGAACGAAAACAATGTTTGCTTGAGCGAAAGAGCAAACACTTGCTTGTTCGCTGAAAACAATACCCAGGCCATCGCTTGTGAGAATAAGCTCTAAGGGATTTGAACATCTTATGTAGGAACAAAACACTTCTTTACTTTCCCTTCTAACCACTGTCTGTTTGGCTATGAGGTTCGATAGCCATCCTTGCATAGCAACTTAACCTTGATTGTTATTTACTTAAATGATGCAAGAAGCTTTCAAAACATTTGGTATTTTCGCGTTCCTATGAAAAGCTGAATTTTTTTCTCTAAGTTTTTTTTCAATATTTTGGCGCAATTAATGTCGCAAAGTGCACCGGCAAAAAAATTTCTTTCTTTGCATAGCGATAGTCTGGTCAACAAAAACATCAATGAATCGAAAACGTGAAACAATCTTTGAGTGTTTGCTATGTCGAAGAGCTTCATTTTTTGCTCGAATGCTCTCGTGTCCGATGAACACAAAAAAACGTAAAACGAAAAAAGCTAACGCAGTTCAACGTAAACACACTTTTCAGAAAATAAAATAAAATATTATAAGACAGACGCAACGATGGGAGAAAAATGAACTTCTGGGTTTCACAGGGCACTACATATATTAGGGTGTCTTTTTACCGTTTTTACTACAACCGTCGTCTTTTGGTATTTTATCTTCACCTGATCTGATTTGCGTAGATTCGACAACAGGGCATAGCGGACTCTACAAAATGGCTATGAAGAGTACGCCCAAATCGTATTCTACGTGAAGTTTTGAGCTGAAATCTGATAGTAATTGAAAACGAATTTTTCTGTCAAATTCGTATCTCCGCCCCAAAAAATCTCAAAAATTCCCCGATTGTCATATGCTTGATGCTTGTAAATTTTTCCTTGGCAAAAATAAAGAAATAATGAATGGAGTAAAATGGCAAACTCCGCCCCTAGATCCTGAGCTCCTCCCACGCACCGTAATCATATAGCTCACGCATACAAAGTGCGATCATGTATTTGTAAACTTTGAAGGCGAGTTCTCGAGAAATGCTTGTGTTTTGCGTAAAAACAGATTTTGTGGTAAAAGCAAATTTCTCATGTTTGCAAGGGTATTTGTTGGTGATTCCATCAAGTGTGAGTTGAAAATGGGCCTTCTTTGTCTTTTTAAAAAAAAATTTCCCTAACATTCCGGACCTCTTTCCCTCCGAATAATGTTGCGCTCTTCTATTACCATGAACTAGAATTTGCTGTTTGTAATAAGTTTGCTTTGTAATAACTTTACGGAACTAGCAAAAATCTAAAGCAGTTTGCACTGGTTTGAAAATAATCAGACAGGAAACTAGAAAATATACTTTTAATGGTTTCTGTTAAACATACACTCCAGTTTGTGGGAATGGCCTGTTTCACTGTGCAAAAAGTGGTGAATGCATTCCATACGATGAACGATGCGATGGAAAACGACAATGTCCTCATGGTGAAGATGAGTTATTGTGCAAGTGAGTCTCGTTTTGCACGCAGTGTAACTTCGCTGATTTGGAAGAATTTGAGAAAGATGCTTCTACGAAAATTAGAATTATATATACTTTTGATTCAACTGGCTTGGCGGCTGGAAGGCGGGGCTTCGTGACCTAATTAAGGCTAGGTAATGATCAGAGAGCACGCGCGCGGGAGAGACGCGGACTATGTCACGGGTGCGAGCGGCCTTAATAGGTCACAAACCCCGCCATCCAAGTGCCAAGCTAGTTAAATCAAAGGTTACGCATATAAATTCGCAGAAAAATTAAAATTTCACATCAAAATTTATTTTAGAAAGAATCCCATGGATCGGTCGTTCACTTGTCAGTCAATGCGACAGAAAATTCACATGACACAGGTACGCTACCAAGCAAAGAACTTCAAGAATTTATTATTTTTTTCGGTATGTGACGGAATGCCACAGTGCGATGATGGCTCGGACGAGATGTACTGCCAAGCTGGGATAGCAGCAAGTCACGGTGTTCATGAAGCAGCTATGTAAGTTTTAAGATTTTTTGTCCGTCGTGGTATTGTGCGGAAGCAGGATGTCCCAAAAAATATGCACACTATTCGATCTTAACAAACCTCTTGCTTTAGGTCTTTTGCCGATGTAAAAATGGCTTCAAATTATATTCACTTTATGGAGCGAATTTCCGATCTCTCTTCGTTTCTTTAGAATTATAGGAACTTTCGAAGGTTCTAAGCCATTAAAAGGCGCATTTTGCCTTGGAAGGGAAACAAACATGCAAAAAACTCTTATACTAGACTTGTAGAAGTATATGTATTAGGTTGTCCGGAAATTAATGCACGTTTTGAATTTCAACCGCAATAAGTCATACACTTCTCATTTTTAAGTAGGTGCTAAACACTATTCCAAAGAAACAAAGCAAGCTCTACAAGATGGCTCTATCTTGCTTTAACAACAGCTCTGATCCACCACTAGTTTCGAGCCAGAAGCTAAAAAGATTCAACTCCCCGAAAAAATGAGAAAAATCGTAACTCAGTTCATAAAAAACCTACAAAATTTCTAACTTGCTCACGTAAACACAATCCACATAGGGCATCTATACACGCCGTTGCCGTATTTTCTTCTCTGTTAGAAATCATGTAGACGGAAATTTTCGTGAATTTGCCAAAGTGTTGCTGTGCCGTTCCCACATAAGTAGTTGTATACTACAAAGCTGTAGAAGTACAACGTAAATTTTCAGCTCTCTACAAGCTTTAGTTCTCGAGAAATATCGAATAAGCCTTCATTAGTTAGGTGGCCCAAGCTAAAATTCAGATTTCTCGAGAACTAAAGCTTGTAAAGAGCTGAAAATTTACGTTTTTACTTCTACAGGTTTGTAGTCTACAACTACTTATGTGGAGGCGGCACAGCACCACTTTGGCAAATGCATGAAAAAATGTGCATTAGATGCATGCATTTCCGTTTTCTTGGTTTCTAACAGAGAAAAAAATACGGTAACGGCGTATAGGGATGTCTTATGTGAATTGTTTTTACGTGAGCAAGTTAGAATTTTTGCAGGATTTTTATGAACTGAGTTACTATTTTTCTTAATTTTTCGGGCAGTTGAACCTTTTTAGTTTCTGGCTCAAAACTCGTGCTGAATCAGAGCTTTTACTAAAGCAAGATTGCCACCTTGTAGAGCTTGCTTTGCTCTATCGAATGGTACCTTGCAACCTATTTAGAAATGAGAAGTGTATGACTTATTGCGGTTGAAATTCAAAACCTGCATTAATTTCCGGACAACCTAATAGATTACGAACATGCTCCTCATATATTAGGTTGTCCCGAAAGTTTTGTCGGTTTTTCCATCGCTCACTGGAACCCACAGAACACCAATTCATGGAAGGTCTAAGTATCATTTGAAACAGATTTTCATCCTCTTTCTTAAAGTCATATTTGCTCTCTGATCTACCCTGTCTTCGCAATCTTATCGCCATGGCTTTTTGAGCAGTTCAGCAGTGACCCCAAATCTTTTCTGAATTTTAAAAGTTTTTCTCCTGCTACTTTCGAAAAGCGCTAATGACTGTCATGTAGAGCCATTCTTCGGCGACATTATACTTATTTTAGATTACATGGGTCACGCTTATCAAGTCCTAAATAATTATTTATTCTAAAAAAAATCACCGCTTTTTGATTACTTCTACCATGTAAAATCACCGAAAATTCCAAAAAGCTGCTTTTTCAAAACAAATCAAACTTGGATATGTTTCATGAAGAAGCTTTCATGTTTTTGCTGCAGTTGCGTGTTTTATGGTTTTGCCAGAAATCGAGACCTCCGAAAAAATAATTCTTTGAAGCTAGAAACAGCAACATAGGAGAATCTAAAAACATCACCGTATAGCCCGAGAATTGTTCTATTTGTGCCATGCTTACTCCTTTCCAAAACTTTGGAATAAAATTTTTAAAAATTATCCTAACTTTGAGCAGATAAAAATGACGAGTGAAGATTTCTGGCAATTATCAATAAAAACCATACAGGATCTTGGCTCTCAAATGTAAGCCTAAGAAAGAGAAGGAAAAGCTGCATCGAATGCATGTTGAAACTCATTCAGATCTTCATAGTACGTGGTTTCATAGTGGTTTGAAAAAACCGACAAAACTTTCGGGACAACCTAATATTTTACGTAAAAAGTAACAATTGCTTTGCTAAGTTTTTCGTAAATCTGATTAAACCTTAAGAGTTCAGAAAAACTGTGAAAAGTTTTGAAGCGAAAGCATGCGGAAACCATGCTACACAGTTTTCTTTTTTTTTTCGGGATTTTTTTCGAACGGCCTATTTCACAAGAGCTTTGTATGCTAAATGTTCCTAAATCTACAGTAACGAAAGACGATGTAACTCGCTCAAACTGTAGTTCTAGGCTGGAGCCATCTACACAGAATATTTAAAGATTGACAAAAGATATTAGAGCAAAAGAGTTAGTATCATGAGTTATCAACTAGTTACAAACTGTGCACAATTCTTGGGACACCCTGTAGATGCCAATTTTTTTCGGCTATGCGACACTGGGATGGTGAAGGCTGGGCGCGGTGTGTATAAGAGCATTCTGAATTAACTATCTTCATTCAAAAAATGATGACTTAGGATTTCAGAGTGTTATCATGCTTGTCTAATGACAAATTGTCTCTCTAAAGCCTAGCCTGCTTGCGATAAATTTGTTGTCTACTGTCACATGTACCAAGTCTTGAATAACAGATACATTTTGAAGAACGATGAAACTCATCATTTTACTGTCAAAGCTTAGTAGGTTTTCCTTGGGAGCATGCACCTTACCAGCCATAATGCTTTCAAATCTTACAGATATTCGGCGGTAATTGCGGGACTGGTATCAAATCTTTATGCTTCTATATTCAGCTCCTTTTCCTCGAATCCAAATCCACCAGTCGAAGAATTGAATGAGGATGACGCAGACGACTACGAGGAGGAACCTTCACCAAGCAAGGATGAACCTTCATTTCCTATGCTAGCTATCAACTTACCACCTCAACCAAGGTGGCCACTTTTCTTCAATCTTTCTACCTCTCCATTTTCCTGCTTCATGTCAAAATAACCAAGCGTTCTCTACTAACAAACTTTGTGACTGTCAATAACTTACTGAGATGGATGCTAGTTAGAATGATTTTCCTCTTAGCGTCGTAGAATTGAGTGAACCATCACCTCCTCCTGCCGCCCCTCCACCAAGAACTCCAATCGCCTCTTCGGGTGGCTTCAATAAGAGAGTGCAGACGACTATGAAGGTAACAAAAAATTACAAAAATGGCATGATTCACTAGCAAACGTGATTATTCTATTTTGGACCACTGTGCCTCCTACAACCCGGCCGAGGACAAGACCTCCTACCACTACAGTGAGAACAACTACTAAACCAAGACCGAAAACTACTCAAGTGAGTTTTTTACAGAAAGAACTAAAGCTTTCGTCGCAGTGATCATACTGTTATGATATCGTCAGGTGAGTAGGCTCAGAAAAGATTTTTCGAACAGCTCTTAACAGTGACTGCTATGCTCTTCCTCTTGATGTTAGTGATATTCAGTATTAGCGAGTCAAGCGCAAGTTTCATCCATTTTCAAGATTTTGAATCCGAAATATTATAAATTTTTACCACTTTAGTGAACATTTCTGGACAAATTAAACTTTGCTGGATCAAGAAAGTTTGCTACTAAGACTGCATGACACCATTTAGTTTTAGCTTTAAGGAATTTTTTGCGAACAAGTCGAAAAAGCCATTATTGGAGCCCTCTACCGCGCGCCCAATTATGTCGACTTTCTGATATTTGATTTTTTTTTACTTGTCGCGGATAAGCCAAGTATAATTCAGAGCAGAGCAGGCTGATGGAACTTCTATAGGAACCTTTGGAGGTATAACCATGAATTTTTAGCTTCAGGCATGCACTAGTTTTTGAGAAAAATCAGATTGTGTTTGAAAAAAAACCCCAAAAACGCGACATGCTCGCACTTTTATTCTATTTTTGTTTGCCCTACTGTCATGAAAAAATACCACAAACTATACAGGTGAATGTTTAATGTGGACAGTACATGCTCGTGTCAATTGGAGTTACTAAGACGTCTACAGACTGAGATACGATTTTTCGGGTATTCAAAATGTTTTACATTTTGGAGTCAAACTTCAAGTGGAGCAAGACTTCCGCGGAGATTTGTGAACTTGTAAAGCTCGCTTTGCTCTATCGAATGATGCACCCTTCGATGTTTATTTGTGGTCGCTCTATCGCGATAGGTTGCTATGCTACATTATTTTCCGGTCAACCTAATACAATGTTGACTACATCGATTGTCCCTATGCGTAGATCGTTCCTATTTGTAAATTGGCTAAGAGAATCTCCACAAGTTTAGGAAGTAATTTATCTTCTACGTGGAAGTTAAAATGTGCATATGTTAGCCCATTAAAGCCTAGAATGGATTGAAATTTACTTACATGGGTTATAAAAATGTGCAAGTGACTTGTTTATTCTTGTAACTGAGATAATTTCCATATAAGAAGTTTAAACAGGTCTTCCTGGATATACCTGAATAAGGAATAAAAGAAAATTTTCGGTTTCTTCTCGATTACTCTCAGTGAAGTTGTTTGCAGGCACAAGAAGCGGTAACCACCAAAGCTCCAGCCAAACTCACCCCTGTAAGCTCGAACCGATATCTGACAAAGCCACTGTCACAGGCGAAGGAAAGAGTACCGGCAGCTACGGGTTCCAAAGTATGTTAACAATCATCAGTCTCTAACCTGTAATTTAAGGTTTTCATGAAACAAAAACATACTTTAATCTACTGCTCATTGCCTGCTGTAGTTGACATTTTCGATAAAGCAGAGGAAACGTTCCTTTCAGGTGGCACCGCGTAATGAGAAACCGAAGCAGCTGTTCGCTCAGCCTTTAGAGCAAGAATCGCTGGACATAGGTAAGTCAAGCTGAATAATTGAATTACGATATTTAATGACAAACACTACTTTTACTTTTTTTTTCTTCTTCTCCCTATTTTTTGCTACATTCGCATATCGTTTCAAAGATGGTTTTGCATATGATCTGTTAAAGCTCAATCCAATCCTAGATGGGTTAATGACCAGATTTCATGTTTTAAGAAACTTTCAAATGAGTTTTGGTGCTGCGAGAAACCCCCATGAATTTGAGCTATTAGCACTCAAAGACTTGCTCGCGTAAATTCTATGTCTATGTCACAAATGAGTCAACTATATCTGAGAAGGAATATTTTGCTATCATACTCTTTTCCAACTTCTATACAAGATTTTGTGCTTACTGCTAAATCTTCAATTTGCTATAAAAGCGAAGTCACCTCTGCCAATATCGGCAGGCAGATGTTGCGCGGTTGCCCTTCATAGCTACTAGCATTGATAAGGAGTGCAAGCATTGTTGAATTCAATCATTAGTGGGTTTCGTCATCTCGAATAAAGCTTTAAAAGGCTATAAGTCACCTGCGACTAAAGGCATTTATTCCGGCTGTTCATGCTTGGGGTTCTGGCAGAGATATGGGGCCATAGAAAGTATAAACAGATATGCTTCTAATTCTACACTTGCCTCTACCTCTTTGCGGAAAAGCACAACATTAGCATTAACGCTGACTACAAATTAAGGATGCTCTAAATTGAATCTTGAGGCATACTACGAGGCTCGCGAGCAAGATTTCAAAATTGAAACCTTTAACACCAATTATTACAGTCTCTCTCGGACATCGTTTTTAGTTTCAGCGACGTCAACAGCACCGCCTGCAGTCGTTCATGAAGTAAAAATTTCTGGCTCCACATTTCCCCCTCTCCCCACCGCTGTGGATCCAAAAGCGAGGATTATGCAGCAGCTAGGAGCACAGCTTGAAGGACGGGTTTCACCGTAAGTGATGATTTACTGAATAATGTCTTCTGCGAGTAGTGGGAAAACGCTATTTATCAGGCAACTTTTGTCAAAGTTGGAAAAACTCTTAACAGAAGACGTAGAGTTCACGCCGCCAAAATTGAATACACCCGGAGTTGCAGTTGAATCGTCGGCATTGTTGTAAGGAGATTCCACCGTAGTACCTCGTTTTAGCAAAATCATTTTATTTTACAGATCTCATAGTGCACCGTTAGCCTCTACCTCATTGGTGCGGAATTTTACCTCTAGGATCCACAGAACTGAGAACCCATAATTTATTGATAATGTATAAAAATTGTAATTTCTTCTGAAGCTGGTGACTACTGTTATTTTGCTTTGCTTTCCTCTTATTGCAATGTTGTTCACAAGCTCAACGCTGTCCCTTGCATACCTTACTTTTGATATGAAAGTAAAATATGCTTTGATATTCCTGAAATCTTCGTTGAGAAGCTTTCTGTGTTTACAATTATTCGCTCAATAAATTATTTGCTAATGTTCGCTCTTCCGTCTATGACTCAACAATCTCTGACAAACGCCAAAAGCTTTCCGTTAACATTGAAAAAAGCACATCACCTAAAGAAGCGGATCACCTAAGGAACTGTTTTTGGAGATTTTGCATTTGAGTTCCTGGGAGCTCTCAAAAATCTGTAGTTTACTTGAGCCCTGCAGATAAGGTTTAGGGAAATTGCTCAGTATTCAGAACCTCAGCTGACTATTCTGAATTTTGCAGTAAGCAAGAATTCATACATCAATTTTAGAGAGATAGTTCACACAAGCTTGAAATAATAAAGGAAGAAACTTCAGGTTAATGTGTATTACACTTGTCGTGTAGCGAAAGTTTTTCAGACTATATATTTATAACCAACTACGCATGTAAAGAGTATGATTCTGGAGCGGTCCTATAGAGGCATATGGGCGCTGCTTCGACTTCAAGGGCGAGGCAGATTACTTCGATGGTTCTAGGAGGTAGGGCAAGGGAAGATGGACAATCGCGCAGATATTCGCGCTAACATAATCAAAGCCAGACGCGTCCGAGCCTCGAGAACCGCGTCCACTTCCTCGCACCGTCAACTTTCTTCAACGACATCTCCTCCTCAGTCCTTGACGTGTTTTCACATGGCAAACACTGTCGAACACATAACGTTTACCTGTTAATGCTTGCTTTCAATAAGAATAGCATTAGAAGCAATTGTTCAGGTTTTCCCAAAATTCCCCAAAAAGTGGTATCTTGAAGAATTTACGTTTTTTGGGTATCTTGGAATCAGCGCCATGAGAAGGCTTGAATATCATAAAAATATGGAAGCCGAGAATCTGGCTGGACGCTGCAAAATCTACTCATTCCAGATTATAACTTATATTAGCAGGCCCTGAAAGTAGACCAACTGCGTTGGTCCAGTCCACTGATGTTGCCTGCAAAAGGAGAACGGATCAAATCCTCTTTGCGCTCCACCCGTTTTTTTGCGCTCTACCCAACCACGGATTGCCCCAAGACGTGTTCTGACATGACAAGGAACGTCGATACGCATAGTTTTTGATGTGGCACTGTTGCACACGACGGGCACTCGTGCACGTTTGCCAAGTTAGGGCTTTAGAAAAGGGCAATTTTGAAGTTTTTTGGTGATTTGAATCTCATATTCGAATCAGCGCCATAAAAAGCCCGATAACAATAAAAATGGAAGACGAAATTTTGGGTGTACGCTGTTAACGTGAACGACGCAACGTTGTAGCATGCTGGTTACCAAGAGACACGACGACGCACACCTACCTAACGCATCTTCTTCTTCATCCTTGACAATCTCATGGTATCTTGAAGGCACCGTCTACCCAGATCTGCGAATTTGAGTTTTTGTCCATTTTCGCACCCCTTGCGCCGCTGAGTTCGAATCCAAGCCTAAATGGAACGAAAATAAACTACTGAGTACTGGATGCCCTTTAGAATCCGTAGTTAGGAAAACTTCTTGCATCCCGGTCACCCGCGAGCCAGCTGGGGGCCCATCGCAGGGCAGTGAGCAGAGAAACGCTGCGGCAATTGGCACTCTCATGATTTGATCGATTTTTTGACTTTTGCGCCTGCTAGGCGAAATCACCGGTGGACGTGACGAACATACTGTCCATTCAATAGGAAAGAGTCAACGTGGCGGATCCGTACTCCGAAGGATTTTCGAAGCGATTTTCTAGCTTTGAGAGCAACTTTCGGCAGCGCGAGTTGGGCAGTTATACAGTTGAGGGCCCCACAACTGTACAGGGAAATCTCATAGACCCTATTCTGGGTGGATGGTGCCTTTGAAGGCAGTGCCAGGACAAGAGGTCGGATTTGAAATCTTATGGTTACCTGAGCTTATTTGCTAAGTTGAATCCTAAAAACCACATAGGAGAACGCGTAAAGGGCAAAATGACTCCAATGGAAGAGGGTAAGTGGCAGAGGCGGGGTTTTCCACTTTCTGAAGTCACTCTCCCAACTCAAGAGTGATTTTCTCGCTTCCGCTAGCTGTCCTAACATCACTACCGGTCAAAGGCGAACGCGTGACCTTAACTGGAGGGATTGATATCAAGTTGAAAAAGAAATTAGGTAGTACAAAATCGAGCTATGCTGAAAATGAGAATAACTCGTAAAGGGGGAAAAATATTATTTTGAGCATGTCCTACCCTATCAAGATACATAGACTGACAATGGATTTCATTTTTCAATGAGGCATACACTCGAGAATCAATCTCAAGCTAATCCAAAAGGAGAAGCAACATGCTTCCGAAATCGAGAACCTGACTGACAGCTCTGTTGTCTAAAATGTGCTGCGAAAGAAATAATGAAAATGTTCCTTTTAGTCCGAAAAATTCTTTTGGCGAATCCAGACAACTTACATGCGTAATTTGCTTACGTGATAAATCTCTGATCTGACTAGGATCGTTGATCAGATGAATTTCTCTGCCTTGTGCTTCTAAACTAAAGCACCATTTTTATTGTCCATACTAGTTAGAGGTAAGTCACCGCTTTCCTTTTCATAATGAAAAATGTCCTCTTGAGATTTCCTCGTCATTGGCTTCTTGTTTTAAGTAATCCTGCAAAAAACTAATGAATTTTGTTTTTGCCATGGCACACTTTGAGTGTTGATTGCCTTACTAAATTCGCACAAACCGGTTCAGTTTGTGGTACAGGAGACTCACGTAGGAGAATACTCTCACTAGCAGGGTGGAAGCCTTAGCTGTTTCCTTTGCGATGCACTTGAGGAGAATTAATGTGGTTATCCGTGTGTTTGATCTATAACTTACCGGAAACGCAAGTGTGTCAAAACAATATATTCTAGAAGACAAAATCCTTCCGAAGTTTCGCAGCCTTAAGAGGTCGACATCCTTTGTGGTAAGAAAGTGAAAAAAAGCTTTAGAAGCGCAGTTGGGTAAAGAATTTGAGCATAGGTACAAAAAATGAAATTGTTGAAGCTTCCTCCACTAAAATTGTGTTTTTTTTTCTAGATAATCACGAGAGGATTGAAGTTCCTTGTAAAAGAAAACGATACAGAATGGGACCGGCACACCTCCATATAGGGCAGAGGAGGCTACAAAACTCAGGTATAGTGTGGACCACGGCCAGGTTCCCATAGGTACTTCCGCGGCGCGCACGCAGCGCGCGCCTTTCTTAATGCTTCTCGCCTCACTCATGAGCAGTAGAGCACATTTATGCTCACAAAGGATAAAAAATGTAAAGTGGGAACGTCTAGGTTCACTTCGAAAGAGACGTATGCAAAAACGGAACGCAGGCAACCTCCATGAGTACCTCAAATTCAATCAATGGATGCATATTCCGAACTTGCACTGGAAGCATTCTTAAGACATTCCTCTTCGTAGACGTAGAAACTAGAGTAGTCAAAAATTTCAAAAAAGTGGACATTTCAGTAAACAAATGCCTATTGGCTTCTCGGAAGGCTCAATTTTGACTTGAGACATTGTCTACACCTTAAATACCAAACCAAAAGGGACTCTTATTTTATACAAGAAGCTTTTGAAGGAATATCATCTTAATATCCAGTCAAATCTCAATTTTTCGGAGAAAAAAGGGAAAACACAAGACTACTACACAAGACTGAAGCTCTTAGAACTATTAGAGCACGTGAAATCTCGTCAACGGTCATCTCGAATTGTTTATACCTGAAATAGAGAGAATATAGTACACCAAAAACAAAAAAAAGAGAGAAAGAAGGATTTCCATCAGAAGCTAGGACAGGAGACGCACTGAAGGCGTGCGTTGCGGGTGCGACGCGCAGGTACCTATGGGAAGCTGGCCGGGGTCCATACTATAACATCACCAAGTGAAAAAAATCTAGCTTACCCCAAAGTCTTCGTAATGCGCTGGTAGAAAAAACGACCTGAGGGTAGAAATTTTAGTCTTGAGGAAAAATTTTTTGCATAGGCGATATGTAAGGGGGTGGTCTAGTGGTATTAACGGTTTTACCCGGATCAATAACGGAAAACACGGTCAGAGTGAAGATATTTTATCGCTATGGTAACAAGAAACAAGAGCAATTCAAAAACTCGGAGACACACAACAAAAGGGCTCCTCTGACCCGATTCGACCCTGCAGGGCTTCTATCACTATCTAATGGGGGAGGTCCGCCTCTCTTCGACGGCTGCTTCGAATTTCCTGCGCTCTCTTCACGCTCTGGCTGCTCCCGCTAACTACCCGTATTTATACCCCCTGAGCAAATCGGGCCCTCTTCTCGCCAACAAAGTCACGATCTCCACGATCCAACAGGTATAAATGCGTCTTTTTTGGCGAGGTCTGTCATACCTAAAATATTGCAAAGGCGATATTCGTCCGCTAGACTGGTTTATTGAAGGAGAGAGAACGAAAAGATAACGAAAAGAAAGAGAAATGGAGAAGAGAGAAGAAAAAAGAAAAAACTCCACATCACTGAGATTTGGGATGAGTGCAAAAGCGCATACTTCGCGCCTTTGCATTTTCATACTTTTTTTTCAAGCCGTATCGTGACTATTCTCGGGGTTCTACAAAGACGTGTGGTTCGGAAAGACCGCTATATTTTCTTCCAGAAGAGACGGCATGAGGAAAAATTCCTACTATGAAGAGAACAGGGTTTAGTGGTTGGAACCTTATAAGGGGATATTTGAATTTTACGAAGGTAAGTTAATGGAGCAGGAATACCCCCCCCCCCCTCCTTGCCGAGCCATCCCCTTACGTCATTCTGGAGCAGGAATCCTTGGTCTGCATATCCAATGCCCTGCAAAAGGCGCATTCAGCTTGTACATGTGTTAATTGTCGGGTCTCCAGTGTGGAAATACTTGTAAGATTTGTTCTCCATTTTTCCAATAAATTGTCTGCATTCTTCAGCTTTCTCACTTCTCTTCCTATCTGTGCGCTTTCTACTTTCATCTGTTCGTCACCTTTCTCCGGTTTTTTGCGGAAGTACTGCTCACCGTCCAGCGGTTCTTCTTCGGAAGTGCTCCGGCATTTTTTGTCAACGACATGA